AAAAACCCCACACTGCATTAAATTTACATTAAAATTGACTAAAAAATAGTGAAAGTGTTTTTATCGTTTCATGCATCTTTAAAAAAAGATAATCTGCTGTTCATTTTAACCATAGGCAGCTTAACAGCAGAAACAGCCAGCTAGGCGGTGAAAGAAAAAGATGATCTCACTTTCAATCTTTTCCCCTATCTCTCTTTCTTTCAATCGCCGCAGTTGTTTACAGCCGTGTCAGACGATGTTGTGTATGTTGTCTAGCCAAAAGGAAGCCGCCTAATGATAGGCTGATTTGCGTGTGTGTTCAAACCTTTTGAAACAGAAAAACACAGGAAGGAGCTTTGAAAGAGTGAGTGAGTGAGTGTGTATGTGTGTCTACACTAAATCGATTACTGTTATCATTATTATTATTTACTGAACTATTTCTGTCGCCGCCGCCGAATCCGTCGCCGCCACAAAAGTCGATGATCGATCGATCGATCATGGCGACGATGGTGGTGGAAACTTGATCCTCGGTCATCAACGACCACGATGACCACTGTCCTTTTTCTGTCAAAGAAACCATTGTGCTGATGATGGCTCTAGTAAAGCAAACTACAAAACCGGTGTGCGGTAAAAAACGGCCGCTTTAAAAAGTAGTTTTAAACAGAAAAAGCACCCTTTAACTTCTCCAACAGTAAACACTGACTGTGCTGACATTGAACTGCTGTTCAACATCAACAGCACAGTTCAAGTGTTCAAGTGCAATACAGCGTCTTGTTTTGATTGCTGTCGTGGTGTTGGTGGTGGTTTGTTAATAGGTTTGATGACTGAATGCGCAATGTTTTGAATTTCAGGTTCGATCGTAAAGTGTCTCTCGCTTTTCTCTCACCTTTCATCGTTTCTCTCCTCTATCAGGCAATTATTTCAGTCATTTGGTAATGCACTTGCAAATGACTGCCAGACGCAGGACACTTGCACCAAAATTCCTCATCACTTTTTGTTTTCCTTCATTACTACGTAATGACTTTTGAAGTGAGAGAGAGAGAGAGCATTTACCTTTAACTTGAAGGTCACGTGGCGGTTTTCACTGCTAATTGCCCATTTTGAAAAGTGGTAACGCAACCAATTAAATGCAGTAATTTTTGCTTCTATTAGTTGTGTTAAAAACTTTGTTTATGTTTAAAAACACTGAAAAAAATTTATCAAAATTATCCAATAATTTGTATCATATAACCAAAACTCGGAAGCGAAAAACTAAAACTAGTGGTCATGCTTTATTTTTTCCTGTGTTTTGCGTTTTGATTTTCCTCATTTTTCCGTTTTTTTTGAAGCCAACACACGACGTTTTTATTCTGCCTGTCGTCTGTTGCCTTCTGTGGTTGTCTTTAGCACGGGCACGTTTGTCCTCATTATGGTCAAACGTCAAACGTTCGTTCGTTTGTTAGTTGTTCAACTATTGCGCCGGTTATTACAAACTGCAGCAATATTGGCCTACTTAAGGAAAAGAAAGAAAAAAAGAGAAAAGAAGAGAAGTTTGCTGCAACGGTGACAAAAATTTAGTTGCACTGTTCTTTTTCCTTTTATTATTCTACCAAGAACGACTGCGTTTAATTTTGTTTCCCATGCTGTCGCCAGTCGTTGTTCGACCAGCATTTAAATGCCGTTTTTTCAGTTCTTTTTACACATAAAAATTGCCTTTTTAATCAGCAGTTTAAAAGTATAAATAACAAAAAGGCTTGAATAAAGTAAAATCAAAATCAAGTGATTTTACTGAATTAAAAAACTGCTTCACAAAAAAAAATGTTTCAAAATTACAAAAGCTAACAAACACCTGCCTTTTGTTCCGTTCTCCAGAAAGTGCCTCAGCCGCAAGCAGATCGCCCTCAGCCTGCCCACCACGCCCCTGCCGCCCAACCCGTGGAAGAAGAAGAAGTACTGCGAACTGCAGTCTCGCAGCAGCCTCCTCGTCGCCTGCGACGCCCACGACCCCTACCGGCGCCTGGACGGGAAGTGCAACAACCCGCTGCAGAGCAACCTGGGCAGCAGCTTCCACTGCCACCGCCGCCTCCTCCCCCCTGACTACGCCGACGGCATTCACGAGGTGAGGGTCAGCCACGCCGACCTGCGGCCGCTGCCCAGCCCGCGCCTGGTCACCCAGCTGATGATGCCCGACCTTGACCTGACCGACCCCAGCCTCAGCGCCCTCCACTTCGCCTGGGGCCAGTTGCTGGTCCACGACACCTTCCGGACGATCCAGCACCTCGGCCTGGCCATTGACTGCTGTCGGATGATCAATCCGCCGCGGCCGCCGACGCCGGGCAGCCCCCTGCCGCCGGTGCCGCCCTTCATGGAGGTGAACCGCGGGACGATGAAGGGCCAGCCGCCGGTGCCCCACCCGGAGTGTCTGCCCATCACCAACTTTCCGCCCAACAAGCGGACGGAGATGCTGCAGCAGGTGTGCATCAACACCGTGCGCAGCATCAACTGCAACACCTGTGGCCTGGGTAAGAGAGTGAAAAGCTTTTTATTTCAGGCTTAACTTGGCTATAATTTGAACACGTTTTATTAACTAAACATTTCCACCCCTTTCACCAGGCCCCCGCCAGCAGATGAACGCCGCCACGCAGGTGCTCGACCTCTCCAACGTCTACGGGGGCAATCTGCTGAACAACAGCGAGCAGCTGCGCTCCTTCGTCGGCGGGCAGATGCTCCTGCAGCTGGGCATGACCGGCCAGACGCTGATGCCCACCGCCTCCGCCCCCTCCGACACTGACACCCTCGATCTGACGCCCTGCAACCCGCCGCTGGGCAAGAACCCACTGGGCGTCGGTTGCTTCCGCACCGGTGACGGCATCCGCGGCAACCAGAATCCCTTCATCGCCTCGCTCACCACCGTCCTCGTCCGCCGGCACAACCAGCACGCCGTCGGCCTGGCCGCCGCCAATCCGCACTGGGACGACGAGCGGCTCTTCCAGGAGGCCCGCCGGCTGACCATCGCCGAGGTGACCAAGATCCACTACGGCGAGTACGTCGGCCTCATCCTCGGCGACCGCCTGATGCGCTACTTCCACCTGAACGTTCGGCCGCACGGCTTCACCAAGTACAACGCCCACGTCGAGCCGTCGACGATTCAGGCGACGGGCGTGGCGGCGATGCGCATCGGCCACTCGCAGACGCGCTCCAGCTATCGGATGATCGGCGAGGATGGCCTCGGCTACGGCAAGTTCGGCGGCGGTGGGAGTGGCGGCAGTGGCTCCTACCTCCTGCGAGACCGCTTCTTCAACATGATCGACGTCTGGCAGGGCCGCATCACGCCCATTCTCCGGGGCATCCTAGCGGACCCAAGCAAGAACGTCGACCCCTACGGCGTGACCGACCTGAAGGACTTTCTCTTCTTCAACCCACGGCGGCCGGCGGTGGTGGACCTGCTGTCGATTAACATCAACCGAGGACGGGATCACGGCGTGCCCGCCTACGTGTACCACCTGCAGTACTGCACCGGTGTGGAGGTCAAAAGCTGGAAGGAACTGGAGCGCTTCATGCCCGCCAGCAAGGTGAAAAACCTGAGAAAGGTGTACCGGTAAGTTGACACTGGCGAAAGCAGTTTGAAAAGGATTTAAAGAATGATAAAATTTTTTATTTTTTTTGTAGACACTTCCGAGACGTGGACCTCTTCCTAGGCGGTTTGCTGGAGTATCACCTGAAAGGCGCCAAAGTGGGCCCGACCTTTGCCTGTCTGATTGGCATTCAGTTTTACCACTGGAAGTACGGCGATCGGTTCTACTTTGAACACGGCGGAGAGGCTGGCTCCTTTACCGCTGGTAAGTTTGTTCATTTTTTAAACTGTTTCAAAAATTGTAATACTTTAAAAATATACCTTCTTCAATTTTTAGCACAATTGGCCGACATTCGCTCCAAGGTCTCACTGGCCAATCTGCTCTGCAAGGCAACTGACATGGAAATGGTGCAGGTGCGCCCGCTGGAGGAAGGTGGGCCACACAATCCGAAGATCTCCTGTGCCGGGCTGCCGGAGATTGACTACTTCCTCTTCCGTGACCATGAAAGCACGGGAGGATACGGAAAGAAAAAGTAGCTGTTAATCACAAATCAAATGTCACAAATTCTCCTTGTCTCAATCATCAACTCCTCAACTCAACGGGCAACTTTGCAGCAGCAGCGGTAGAAGTTTTATTAGTGGGCTTTGAGCTTTCTGCTAAAAACACAAGCACACACACACAATCTGTCTATTTTTTTCTTTCCTCTGTTGTTCATCAGCCAAATACATCATTCTATCATTCCATTAAGCATACATTCCNTGGTAAAAGTTTTATTAGTGGGCTTTGAGCTTTCTGCTAAAAACACAAGCACACACACACAATCTGTCTATTTTTCTTTTTTTCCTCTGTTGTTCATCAGCCAAATACATCATTCTATCATTCCATTAAGCATACATTCCAACACAAATTTCATCCCAAACTCATCGCTTTCACTCATACTTTCACCTTTTCCTCCTCCTCAACTTCCTTTTCCCCGTTTTACTGACCTTATTTTCTCGCATTCTTTTCAATCATTCTCATTTTTATCATGTAATCATCGACTTTCATTTTCATCCCATCCTCATTTCATAACCTTTTCACCTCCTCACTTTTTGTCACTAAAACTCTTTTTTTGTTCAACTTTTTTAATTCTTTTTATATCTTTTCTTTTTCATCATTTTTTCCTTTAAAACCCACTCACTACCTGACACTATGCCATTACCCCACCACTTTCGTTCCCACCCCAATTCACAACAATCCTGTCTATTCCTCTTCCTATCTCTCGTTGTTTTGTTTGCATTTTTGTGTTTTCTCTTCTCTATAACCTCGCTTTGTTTGTTTGCTTTTCTTTTGCCTTTTTAGTTTTTTGTTTGCGTACGCGTTTTGTAAACCAGCTTTACTTATTATTGCAGATAAAGAATAAACTAGAAAAACTTGAAAAAGTAAAATATGTTGACAGTTTTAATAATAAAACAGTAAACGTCAACATCAGTTTTTATACAAATAGTTTTTAAACGTCAACTGCAAAGACAATCACTATTTACAACTTACAATTTATCTCTTTTTGATCACACATTTAAATCTTCACTTTCACCACCTTTCTATGTGACACGTTTGTAGTTCCAGTAGACCGACGTTTGCATTTCCGCCATCCTCGACAGTGTTCGATCAAAGGCGAAGATCTCCTCTTCACCGCTGAAGATGCTGGCGTTGGCATTGGCATCACCCTTGCCCAGTGCAATGCCCAGGTCGTCCATCAACTTCCGGTGATCATCTTCAGGGGCAGCAGCTTCTCCTCCTTCTCCGCTGTCCACCGGCTCAGCGCTGAACAGCTCTTCAGCGGGCACCTCCGCCCCGAAGAGCACTCGCACGTGATGATCGTAGAAGGTGTCAATCATGGTGATGAAACGCTGAGTGATGGGGCAAAAAACGGTGTTAATTAGTTTTATTTGAAACAGATAAAATAATTAGCTTGCAGATCAATTACCCTAGCCTGTACGCGCACCCGCACCGACATGCGAGGTATGTTGCGGACGATGATGGTGTGGAACGCCTGTGAGATGGTCAGGTAATCGATGGCACCTAGTGGCTGCAAAACAATGATAAGAAAAGCATTTTGTTAGACAAGTCACTTTATGTGATTACCGGTTTTTAATCTCTTTTCCCTACCTGATCACAAAGTTCTTCAAAGGTGGTGTCGAGGACGCCGCCGCAGGTACGCTGAAAGGACACATTTCGGCCCTTTATCGTCAACGTCTTTNGAAACGCCTGTGAAATGGTCAGGTAGTCGATGGCGCCTAGTGGCTACAAAACAATGATGACAAAAGCATTTTATTAAAGATAAGTCGTTTTAAAATGTGGCAACCGGTTTTTAATCTCTTTTCCCTACCTGATCACAAAGTTCTTCAAAGGTGGTGTCGAGGACGCCGCCGCAGGTACGCTGAAAGGACACATTTCGGCCCTTTATCGTCAACGTCTTTGGTCGCACAATGTCCGTCTCATTGTTGGCCAGCACCTTGAACATCAGCTCCATCTTTGCGTCCGACTCGTCGTCTTTGCTGTTTAGGAAAAATTAAAGATGATAAAAATGTTTAACAGAACAAAAATTAGTTGAGTAATGATGTTGTTATCTCAATGAACTTCTTAACTAAACCGGTGATTTGTTTTGTAAAATGTACCCATTGTTAGCGTCATGAAGTGAAACGAAAGCAACGACAACAACAAAACATCAGCTGCTTTCCGTCACTTGATCAGTCAGTTTATCATTTAAAACAGACTGATGAATATATCCTCCTCATGACCAAAAGTAGGAGTAGTCAGCAGACGGCATCTTTTATTATCAAACAGTTGATAAAATGTACCACCTTCTTTTTTGGTCATCATATTACCTCATCACTTTGCCAATCCTCACACTATTGTACTAGGTTTGTACTGGAAATCGTCATCATACCTATCACTAGCTAAATGTACTTTTTTCTACTAGTTGGTAGTGTGTGTGTGTGTGTCGCCCGTACATTACTGTACATCTACACCGCTACTTGCCAAATGTTGATGCTTAGTTGAACAAGGAAAATGACTGCTCCCTGACTGAAAAACTTGTGGACCATGCAAAGGTACACCAAAAAGTAGGCTAACGTGCTTGTTCAATCCAGTCGTACGACAGTTTTTTTTATCACCAACACACTGTCAGTCGATGGAAAAAAGCTGTGCCATCACTAAATCTGGAAGGGCAGCAAATCTGTCACCCCAGATCAATGTACAAGAGGAAACCGTTTTCCCCGTGTGAGCTTCTAAACTTTTGGCTAATCCTTATCAACAATTGCAGCTATCAACACAGCACAATTATTAGCCCACTTACACGTAGTAGACTTGATGCTCCGAGGAGGTGACCAGCCGGCGGTAGTCGATGCCCGATTGAAGGTGCACCTCTTCACAGTGCCTCTTTAGCATTGGAATGAAGGGCAGGAAGGTGCTTCGCTGGAGGCCATTTTTGTACAGCTCTTAAAAAGGGTTGATTGACAAGAGAGTTAAAAGGTTATCAAGCAAAAAGCTGTCGTTAGCCGGCATTACCATCAGGCGCTCGATTTGAAGTGGCGACCAGGACGATGCCTCGGTCAAAGAGCTCCTTGAAGAAGTGGCGCAGTATCATCGCATCGCCAATGTCCGTCACCTGAAACTCNAAAAAAGGGTTGATTGATAAAAGAGTTAAAAAGAGTTAAAAAGTAATTAAATAAAGTTGTCATCATTACCATCTGGCGCTCGATTTGAGGTGGCGACCAGGACGATGCCTCGGTCAAAAAGCTCCTTGAAGAAGTGTCGCAGTATCATCGCATCGCCAATGTCCGTCACCTGAAACTCATCCAGGCANTAAAAAGGGTTGATTGACAAGAGAGTTAAAAGGTTATCAAGCAAAAAGCTGTCGTTAGCCGGCATTACCATCAGGCGCTCGATTTGAAGTGGCGACCAGGACGATGCCTCGGTCAAAGAGCTCCTTGAAGAAGTGGCGCAGTATCATCGCATCGCCAATGTCCGTCACCTGAAACTCATCCAGGCAGAGGAGCCAGGACTCGCGGAGAATCTCCTCGGCAATGGCGGGAATCGGGTTGAAGTGAAGCGCCGGACGGCCGTCCTCCTCCTTTCGGTGGGCCATTTTGTAGCGGTGAAGGCCTGAAAGTGGTGATGATTTGGAGATGATTTTAGTATAAAAAAGCTCAGCTGCCCCTTTCATCACTAAAAACTATTCTCCAACTTACGACTGTGAAACTCGAGCATAAAGGAGTGAAAGTGAATGCGCCGCTTGAAGGCCCGGTCGACGCAGCAGTTCTCGTAGAAGAGGTCCATGAGCATGGTCTTGCCGCAGCCGACGTCGCCGTGCAGGTACAGCCCGCGGACCTTCGGCTCGTCGTCCTCCGCGCCCGAGTGCTGGTCGTGGATGCCGAAGAACTTGGAGAAGATGGACAGGTCCATGAGCAGCGTCCTGGCGCCCGAGGCGGGCGTGTACCCGGCCAGGTCCTCGTCCAGTCGCTGCAGCTTCTGAATCACCTCAATCTGGTGCGGGTCGTCCTTCAGCTGGCCCAGCTGGACGCGACTTTGGTAGACGTTGAGGATGGAGGTGGTGGCTAAGAAGCAAAGATGGTAAAAGATGGCAAAGATGATGATAAGAAGAGTTGTCCTTATCTAAATATAATGTTTAAGCTTTGTATACACTTACAGTTATCCTCGCCTTCAGAAGCAATAGAGTTGATTTTTTGCACCGGTGTTGCCGGAGTGGAGGAGGAAAGGTGACGATGAGAGTGATGATTTGTGGCATTGTTACTGCTGCTGTTGCTGTTGCTGTTGCTGTTGAAAAGTGCCGGAAAAGTGGTCAGAAGACGGATTTGATGATTTGACGAGGGTGACGGTCTCAGAGATGCTCGGTTTGCTACTGTTTGATTGACGGTCAACAGTTGTTTGGAAAGCCGCCGAGCGACCTTCACTGAAGAGGAGCGAGGTTTCAGCATTTTTTAACAAGTTGGAGAAAAAGTATTGAGGCAATTGAGCTTGATGTTTCAAAACCTGTAGTAAATGTGATGAATAAAAATCAGTGATAGTTAAATAAATGCACAACGGGCATAAAGTTACACAAAGTAAAGCATAAGCAAATCGTCTAGAAAGGTTACTTTTTATACTGTAGCAGAAAAGGTTTGATAAAGGGAAAAGGGATGATGATGATGATGATGAGAAGAGAAGTAAATGCCTGAGCTTGATAGGATCACCTCACAGTACACAGTCTTTCTCTATCCTTGTGCGGCGGACTGGTGTGTGTCTGTGTAATACGTGATCGGTGGCTAACGTTCTAGTGATAAGGAAACATTGAAGGCGGAGGAAACCTGTACGTTAAGGCAAAAAGTACGTTAAGCTAATGAACGTTGAGAAAAACTGAGGAAAGAAAGAGAGAGAGAGAGAGAGAGAGAGAGAGAGAGAGAGAGAGAGAGGAAAAGCAGACAAGTCTAGTGCAATGGTCTTCTATTTACTTTCCGATAAGATTACTGTGCTCTGTTTGTACTGAACACCGTTCAATAAAGACTAAATGTACTTTTTGGAAGATAGTGAAGAGAGAGAGAGAGAGAGAAAGAGAGAGAGAAAGAGAGAGAGAAAGAGAGAGAAAGAGAGAGAGAGAAAAGAAGAAGAAAAATAATATTTTGTCAAATTTACACCAAATTCAATGATGGCTAAGTCTTATCAACAGCACAACTTGGTAAACAACTCTTTGGCTGACAACAACAACAACAATTTTGTTCCGGCTGAATAAAAAAACTTACTTAAGCGCTCAAATGTAGAATTACAAAATGAGGTAATCACAATAGCAAGTCGGTATGTTAAAGTCAGTAAAGGCGCAATGTGCTTGTGCCTTGAAACCGTCTAAGGCAATGACTTTGCGGCAAGCAGAAGCAAACAAAAACGGGAGAATTTGCACTTTAGAAAAGCACTAAATATCACAAGCGTTTTCAAGCGCAAGTAGCAGCCTTCTTCTTTAGCAGTTCCGTCTGCACTTGAACTACTTGGCAGGCAAAAAGTACACTGCTTGTAGAGCTGCAACAGCTTTGCCTGGAAAAAAGACAAATGATGAAATGGTGGTAAAAAATGCCAAAAGATGGAAAAGGAGAGAAAGAGAAAGAGAAAGTAGGTGATACCTTTAGCTGACTGGTTGCAAAGTTAAAGTTAATACGCCAGTGACTGACTGGCTGACTGGCTGGCTGGCGTGTGTACTTTTCCACAGGCAAGTGTGTGCTGTGTGTGCTGTGTGTAGATGTAAACACACGCCACGGCTAATGAGATTCACTGCTGGGTCGATTGGGTCGATTTAGAGGAACGGTCTGAGAAGACCAGCTGAAGACGGCTACTGCCTGTCACTGTTTTCCTTGTGTGTGTTTTTGCTGTCGCATCAAATGCATCTAACTTTTCTAATCTTTTTCAGCTGCTTTCTCTTATTATCAAGTTAACTTTTAGGTAGCTTGTGGTTTTTTGTTTTCTCCTTTTTGATAATCTCGCAACTGGAGCTGGGTTTTGGAATACACTGCTGCGTGCACAGCTGCTGGCGCACTCATTATTATCTTTTTTGGTTTGCTAACTCTACTGATTCTTCTTCTTTTTTAGATTGGCTGTACTGAATGACAGTTGCCACTGTGCGGATGCAACCGGTACTGGTGAGTAGTGTTGATGATATGCCACCGGCACACAGCTAACAATACTGTTATTTGTTACAGAAATCATTGAAAACATAATAAAAACAGTTAAGGCAAAGAAGCAGATTAGATTAGATTGCTGCAGTCGCAAAAAAGTGTTGTTCATCCTCTTCTTTATCGCCCACCACCACCACCACCACCACCACCACCAAGTTTGGAGTTTAGTGCAGCTGGTACCGGTTCTGAGCTACGGAGCTACAAAGCTGTAGTGCGATAACACCCTTTTACCCTCTCACCAATGCAAACCATGTTTTCCACTATTAAGTACTCCTTTCATACAATGGCATTATCTGTTTATTATTGCTGCGAGCTGTGCATGTTTATGTGTGTGAGCTCAGCTGCCCCAAATGAATGACGCAAATCAGTGACAGTGTATCAGTGACGGTACCCGCCACTATCTAGTAGCCAGACTAATAATGTGCCAAACAGGCCAAAAAAAAGTGTACTGCCCAACAAAAAATAGATAAAAAAGAAGAAGTAGACGTTATTTGCTGATAGCTTTTCTGTGTGTGTGTGTGTGTGTTTATTAGCTGTTTTTAATGTTTTTTGTTACTACATCTAAAAATAGAACTTTTGGTGGGTAATCAAATCATATCAGGTAATCATATCAGCAGAGAACATTATAAATCTAGAAAAGCAGATGTTGTGTGAAATGATGACATGTCTGTACGGTGCTTGTTTCTGTTTACAGAACTGTAAATTGTTCAGTGTTGAGCACTGACTACCTCTAAATGAGAACTTCGTCGTGGACGGTGGTCGATGGTCGATGCTGGAAGAAGATGTCCTCCAGTGAGAGGCGACGATGTCCACTGATGCCGTCACTACCATCACTGTAGTTGCAGCTGTTCAGTCGTGTAATCTTCTTTTCTTCCTCCTCCTCCAGCTCCTCTCTGATCATCAGCGTCACGCTGAGAATAAGAGTGGCCACAAAGAGCAGCACTGTGAGGAGGAAGGTGCCCAACGCCAGCGCCACCAGACTACTACTGTACAGCAGGTAGGAGAAGGCGACGAAGAGGACAAAGGAGGAGATGATGAGACTTAGAAGGGCCCACAGCAGCGCCGGAAGGGGAAGCCAAAGGAGGCAGCAGCAGACGGAGTTCAAAAGGCAGAAGAAGATGTTCGGGAAAAATGTTTGAGGGTGGCAAGAGTGGTTGTTGCCAAGTTTTTGTTGATAAGAGGCAGTAGTAGAGCTGCATTCACTAGCATTGTTACCGTCAGCATTGCTCTTATCAGCAGTTTCAACATTTTCTCTAATAGTAATAATGACTGCATCTTCAAAAGGAGAATTGATGATGCGCGGCTGCTTGGACAGCTGAACAATTGTGTTGACCATGGTTTTAAATTATTTGCAGCTTTTTTGTTAAACCAGATTTTTTGCTGTTAGTTGTTTTAAACTGAAAAGTGCGATTTAGAAAAAGGCAGTTTTTATTTGCTAATTCTGTGGGTTTAGTTAGTTTTTACCAATAAAAAAGATTTTAGCTAATTTATGTTGCTGTTGTTGTTGTTGTTGCTTTTAGTCTGATTAGATTGAGAAAGACTGCAAAGAAGGCTAAAATCAATAAGTTCTTTTTTGCACCAGTCTAAACTTGATTCATTTAAGTGCAAACGCAGTAGTGAAAATGAGTAGACAATCAATATTATCCTAGTTAGCAGACTGAAACAGATGATCATGAAGCAATTTAACTGGGTGTTTCTATAAGTCATCATCATTCATTATTCGTTGGTTTCCCTCTTTTTGTAATATTTAATTTGTCTAATGTTTTTTCTTAAAATTTTGAATCGTTAATAATGATAATGAGATCAATTTCTCAAGTACATTATTTCCATTTCACCATATAAATTAGATTTACTATAAATTTCTAATATTTAAATAATTTTATTTTGTGTGCAAATTATCATGAAGTGCAATAGAACAATAAATCAAACACTGTTTTGTATTAAAATTTAAACCCCAACAATACTTTAGTTCTAGTACACAAAAAACTTAAAATTACATTAATAAATATTTAAAACTGTGGTCATAATCACAAAAGGTCACACAGATAGATGATTCTATCAAATCAAAAGTGTTGTTTTGTTTCTTTTAAGCTTTTTACTAAAAATTCTAAGCTAAACTACTTTGTGTTTTTTGAATCAAGACAAAAGTAATCTTAAAAATCATTGATGTCTAATTGCAAATAGTGGAGAAGAGCCAGCGCGACGCCTGACAGAGCAGACAGCCGGAGAAGAGGGTGGCGCAGAGGACGGCCAGGTACAGCGAGGTCTGCGCGTACTCAGGCTGGTGGGCGTGACTGTAGTAGATGAAGGAGGAGAAGAAGAGCACGCCCACAATCACCGTGAGGACCATGCCGGTCTTGCAGTTGGTCAGACAGACTGATTCATCATTGGCCTGCTGTTGTTGCTGCTGCTGTTGCTGCTGCTGTTGATTGCTAGAGCTGAAGTTAGCGGTAGTGTAACCGGGACCTGAGCTTCTGGTGACGAAGTTTTGATTAGGGCCAAAGTTCTCAGCAATAGCCTGGCCAATGCTAAAGTGATTGGGGGTGAGGTCGAGTTGGGCAACATTTAAAGTGTCTATTGTGGTGGTGGTAGTGGCAGTGGCTGGGTTCTCAGCCAAAGTCGTCGAATCAGCAAATGATTTATCATCTGAAGCGTTAGTTGCACCTGTGGCCAGATCAGAAGCAGAAGATGACGCAGTGGTAGTATCAATGGTGTTGGTAAAGTTTTGTTTTTCAAAGTCCAAGTTTTGACAGTGATGATCATCGTTTTTATCATTAGAACCTCGAATGGCAATTGACGGCGGTGCTGGAGATGATTGTTTAATAATCTCAATTTTTGTTTCAGTTGTCGTGGCTCCAGTTAGCATGATGTTATCATTTAGATCGGAAACTGAAAACGTATCTAAAGGGATTAACAGAGGAAGCGAGTTTGGACGTTGAAATGCCATAAGATCAAAGAAGTGCTGAAGTCAAACACCTGATGACCTGTCTGTTTGAAGCTCCCGTTTACGACTGATTTCACTTTTTTGAAAGCTTTTTGTGGTTGCTAAATATTTGCTGAAGCTTGATATTTGAGTTTACCAACGCCCAAATTATTTACTACTGTTTTGTCTTTTTATGGATTGACAATAAAACATTTTTAAATTAGTGAGATCATACCTCAAAAGGGTGATTACGGGGGAACTATTGATTGTCAACGCTGCCAGATTTAATCATGCAAAAAAGCACTTTTTCAACATTTTGCTTTCCAAACTCAAAAATAACTTTTATTTACTAGACAAACCCCAATTACTTTAAAAAGTATTGCTTAAGTTTAAAATTACTCTGCAAAACAAATGATTATACCTGAAAATTAATTACCAAAAAATTGAAAACAGTAAAAATGACATTAAGCCTAAAACTGGTAACGCTATTGATTGGACTTTGGGTAAAATAAAGCTAAAAAACATTTTAAAAAATTATCACAGTTTTATATTATTTTAAAAATTAAGTAATTTGTTAAGTAAATGATTAAGTAAAAATTTTGGCAAAATAGTTTACTCTAAGTTAAATCAATGAATGACAGGTAAAATAATGTGATAAAAGTAAAATTTGCAATTAAAAATCAGGTTAAACAGAATTATACTGAATGCTTACGTAAAATGTAAAAAGAAAACATTGTCAATGTTGTAGTTTTAAATGTTTTTTAAACAACACGAATAACAAAAGAACATTGTGTCAATTGCTATTTTTAAAACAACATCAAGCTAAACTCAATACATTTAATTCAGTAAAAATGTTTTTTAAATTTAACAGCATTTGTAGCAGCTCACATTCTGAGAACTTTGTCGACACTTTAATTAACAGTTTTTTAGTTTTCACAAACGCCCAAAACAGAAAAATATTTAAAATCATTTTAATTGCGGTACTTGATCAGCGAGTAAGAGTACAGCAGCATTTTGGCGTAGAGAAACAAACACTGAAAGCCAGTAAAAACATTAAAACATTCAACTTTTTAGGTAATGATGATAAAAAACTGAAACTGCGTACCTTGGAGAACGTTGCAATGGTGACCTTGGCGCCGATGGCGCCGTACGTGAAACCGTACTGATTGACCGTCAGCAGGCGCATCGTGTGCGCCCAAACCGTAACCCGTTCTCTCGTCACGCTGAAGCTAACACTTCCCGCCTTCTTCTTCTTCACCTTTGTTCTGTTTTGTTTCTGCTTATCACTCTGATCATCACCCTGATCATCACCTTTACCACCACCACCACCACCTTGATGAGCACTGAACCTGACCAAGAGGCGAGCCACCTTCCCGTGAGCGTGTCGACTGAAGCGGGCAAAGGTGACGTGCAGCAGGACGGTGCCGATCACCTCCTGGAGGACGATGATCGCCGCGGAGAAAAGGAGAAAGGCGTCCATCTGCTGGAAGACGCAGAGGACGGTGAACATGGCATTGGTGGGCAGGTTGATCAGAAGAAAGGCGAGGAAGGCGTTTCCGTGAAAGGCGTCCGCGGCGAAAAGCAGCCGAAAAATGGTGACATTCTCGCGGAGGCTCCTAACCAGCTTAGGCAGACTTTTGCCGCTCTCTGCCCTTTTACTAATAGCGCTCTCCACCTTTCGGTTGCTCTCCTCAATCAGCAAACTGAGGTAGGAGAGGCTGACGAAGGTGTAGCTCATCACGAAGCCAATGCTGTAGCAGAAGGCGTAATTGTAGGTCAGGTAGAGGGCGCCGTGCAGGAGGAAAACCGGCGGTGAGGTGAGCTTCCAGGTGAGGCTGCTGCTGCTGCTGCCTAGGGAAAAATAGTTTACCGCGTACCACTGGCCCATCTTGCTGAACCAAATGACGACGCCAAAGTCGGAGACGGCAATGAACGCCTCCAGGTGGTTGGTGATCACCGNATTATAGGTCAGGTAGAGGGCACCGTGCAGGAGAAAAACCGGCGGTGAGGTGAGCTTCCAGGTGAGGCTGCTGCTGCTGCTGCTGCCTAGGGAAAAGTAATGTCCAACGTACCACTGGCCCATCTTGCTGAACCAAATGACGACGCCAAAGTCGGAGACGGCAATGAACGCCTCCAGGTGGTTGGTGATCACCGTTGCCTTCCGTCTGATCAGCTCCGCCACTGCCGAGGTGCTCCGTTCAGCCGGCGATACTTTACTCCAGAACGTTTTTTGAAAAAGCTCACTTTGAGTTGTTGGCCCCTTTTTTTCACTGCTGAAGAGCGCCCTCCTCAGGTGGTCATTGAAGAGCTGACTGGGGCGAAAGTAGTAGCAGTAGAGGTAGTTCACTACCAGGGCGCAGTGCAGCGAAAAGAGCAGGTAAAAGGGCGCGGGAAAGTTGAAATAGTGCACGGTGTCAAAGGTGGCCAGGCGGCCTTCCAGGGGCAGTGCCCTGGGAAGGCAAAAGTTGAACAGGTTCAGGGCAATCAGGTAGAGCAACGCTGCCAGGAGAAGCCTGAACAGAAAGATCAGCTTCAGGTTTCGGTTTCCACCTGCGGCAAAACTAGTCTGAGAGGAAAGGTCAAAGTAGGTCCGGTACACGGCCAGTGACTTGAATGGCGTGGCAGTAAACAGAGCCACTTTGAAAACGGTTGAGGCAAAGTTGAAAATCATCTTTGAAAGTGTTTGAAAAATAAAAAGCAAAAAGCAAAAGCGGCAGCAAATGTGTATCGACTGCTTTTGAGTGCTGAAATTTGGCATTTAAAATTGATTTAGTTTTATGCGGAGACATTATACAAACGCGCTGTATTTAAAAAAAGTCAGGATTTCCTTTAAAACTGCTGAATAATTAAAAAACTCCGTTTTCAGACAAAAAGCCACCTCAACTGAAGTACAGTTACACGTACGAAAAACCTCATAAATATTTTATAGTAATAAATAATTTAAGACAATTTTATTTAAAAAGCGAAAAAGAAACTAAAATGTGTTGTTGTTTACTTCCAATTTACATATTTTGATAACTAAAATTTTACTTTTAAACACGCGGTTTCCAATTTTCAGTTTAAAACAACACTTATTTCTTTACCATTTCCTGAATTCTCCCAAACTAGTGACGATGACTGTACTTCACTAGAGAGTACGAGTACAGTACCAACTTCAGGTACAGAAAGAAACACTATTTGTAATGAAGCAAAAGAAAGAAATTAATGCTTGAAAAAACGATGTAAATAAAATGGTAATAATCTGCATACCCTTGCCAGGGTGGCCATGGTCACCGGTGCTCCGATCAGCCCGTAGGTGAAGCCGTACCGATTGGCCGTCAGCAGGCGAGCAGTGTGCGCCCACAGCGTCAGCTGGCCCCTCACCTCCAGCAGCTCAGTCCACTTTCGACGGCTGACCAGGACCAACGGCTGAC